TGTTTTTGTTTTTGTTTTTTTGTTTTTCGAGACAGGGTTTCTCTGTGTAGCTTTGCGCCTTTCCTGGAACTCACTTGGTAGCCCAGGCTGGCCTCAAACTCGCAGAGATCTGCCTGGCTCTGCCTCCCGAGTGCTGGGATTAAAGGCATGTGCCACCACCGCCCGGCCCAAGACACCCCTTTTCTACCATGCCGCTCAGTGTAGACCACGCTGGCTCCTAGGCACTCACTAGATGATGGTATTGGCCTCACTGAAACTATCATTCTCCTCTATCTGCTGAGAGCCAGCTCCCTGAGTGTTGCTCATTTCCCCCCAAATTCATCATTCCAAAGTATCCCCACAAAGATTCTAAGGCCTAAAAGCAGGGACATACCTGGGTCTTGGAATGATGCTCAGGTCCCAAGAAGAGGGTGGGATAACACGCAAAACACCCCTTAGAGGACAGCTGCCTCCCCGGCCCCTGGCCCACCAATACCTACTGTCCAAATGTCGCCAACTTTCATCCGCTAAGCCCGCCCACCAGCATAAGTCACAGGAAGAAAGGAAATGCCGACCTGCTGTCCTCCACTGGACCGCCATACAAGACCACACTTACCTTGAGCCAAGACTCAAAGAGTTGCTAGAAATCCCCTCCCCTCCCAACCACGCCACATCAACAATAATCCCTGGAAACAGAGCAGCCTCATGAATATTGAAAACACACGCACCTACCCTATCTGTAATTCAGTACATTTTGTGAGGGGCAGTCATTCTCAAAAAGCAAAGCTCAACACCCCTAAAACACTCATGGTGCCATCTCATTCCTTCCCCAAAAGGATTCAGACTCATGAACATAGGCATCCACAGGAAAGGGAAAGAACAAAGGAAAAAGCGGAAGAGCCTCCCACCATCATGAGGTGAACCATGCTCAAAAACTCCGACCCTCTGAGGCTGCACTTACTAGAAGGCTAGCCAACGAGTCACCTGAAGCAGCGCCAGACTTTCAGATGTGGGTCCATGTCTCTCCAGACCCTGCACAGAGCTGGGACCTGTGACTTCCATCTGTCGGCGCAAGGTCTTGGAGGGACCCGGGTGGCCCAGACCTGGCCTGCATCTCTCGAAGGTTACATACCTCAACAGGTTGAAGCTCAGATCAAGCCTCTTTGCAAAATGTCCGCAGTCCCTGCCGAGCTGCTCTGGGATTTCTCTGCAGTCCTGGCCTATGTAAGACACCTGTACAGTAAATGTAACAGAAATGGAAATTACCCAGCTGCTCACAACCCCGAGCCACGGATCACACAATTGCTTCTACAACTTTAACGGCTGGTCCTCAAAACAAAAAGGCTACACTGTGCCTATTCCCCCAAGATTTTACGGATCCTGCCAATAGCTCCCCTTTCCTGGCACAGTTAGCATGATGGAGACATATTGTGGCATGATAGAAATTAGGTTGAAATTGGCTAAGATGCAGGTGCCCAAAAGAAACTCAATGTCGGAGCATATGGAGATAACCACAACCGTCAGCCATCCACCCTGACCTTTGTGACAGTTGGCCATCTGTTCTCTCTCTCTCCCAACCACTCCATAATACTCTGGTCCTCTACCCAGCACGCCTCAACGTTTCCTCCATCTTCAGGAGCAACTGCTGAAGTCACAATGGAAAGTGGCCCACCTTCTGATGCTGCCACAAAATCTAATCTATAAAGCTCATACTTGACTGTACAATCAAGTTATTTAAAAAAGAATCTCAAAATCACGCTGAAAGGAAGTCCATGGTTTTGTGTTGCCTTGCATTCACAGCTCAGTGGCAGCACACAGCCCTCGGGCCACAGGCTGGACACCTATACCTTTGGACCCCCAAGGTGCTAAAACAATCAGGGCTGGGCAAGGAAATCTCCCCAGGCCATCCATCCCGTCCTATGCCCACTGTGTGTAAAATGCCCAGCATACTCCCAGCTGAGCTGGTGGCAAGGTAAAGGGTGGCATGTAGCCAGAGTCGCTGAGGTTCTCCCATCAAGAAGACATGTGTTTATTTAATGTGTGTATTTTGCCTACATGTATGTATGTCATATATGTCCTTGGAGCCCAAGGAGGCAGAAGAGGGTATCAGTACCCTATAACTGGAGTTATAGACGGCCATCAGCCTCCATGTGAGTGCTGGGAACTGAACCCCAGTCTTCTGCAAGGGCAGCAAGCACTCTTTACTACCAACTATCTCCCTCTTTCCTTCTTCTTAAATTTTTATTAATCTTTTGAGAGTTTCATGCAATTATATTTTGATCATATTCACCCCCAAGCTCCCACCTCATCAGAACTTTTTATTTTGACCTATTTGTGTTGGCCATATACTCCTAGGTGTGGAACAACACACTGGAGGATGGTTGACCTACCAGGGGCCACATCTTAAAGCAAATTGACTCCTCCTCCCCCAGAAGCCATCAACTGTCCATAGTTCCTCAGTTAAGGATGCTGGCTCCTGAGCTTCCCTCCCCATGATGGAATGTTGAATGACTTGGTCTTGTCCAGGTCTTGTGAGGGCAACCACAGTTTATGATGGTCCTGTCATGTCCAGAGAACACTGTTTCGCTCCAGTCCTCCCCATCTCCAGCTCTTACAATCTTCCTAACCCCACTTCCTTGGTGGTCCCTGATGGTGGGGGCAGGGAGAAGGAGGAAGAGTGATGTGGCTGTCCCATTTCAGTCCTCCAAGTGACACTCTGCACTTTGAACAGCTATGAGTTCCTTCATTAACCACCCTCAACTACACATACAAAAAAAAAAAAAAAAACAAAACAAAAAACAAAAAACAATTCTCTGACATCTGAGAGCTGCACTAATCTATGGGCATAGTGAAATGAATTCAGAGGGTCATTTGATAGTATGTTCACTTAGCAGAATAACAGTAGTGGGTGCATCCCTGGGTTCTCACCAACCTTGGGTTCTTGGCCAGATTTACAGTACCACGCCTGAGTTTCCTCCTGTGGAACAGGCCTTACGTCCAGTGATTGGTTACCCCGATAATGTCCATGCCACCATTGTACCTATGGGCGTATCTTGCCATTCTGGTCATTATTGCGTTCACATCAGGATAAGACTATCTTGATGGCGTTTTCCCCAGCAGCGTACATAGCACCCGCTAGCCAGAAAGCTTTTGTAAGCCTTTTGCCTCCTTCAGCATTCTTTTTATTTTTATCTTATTTATATAATCATTTAAACATCTCATGTGTATTTCCAAATATTAAAAGGCCTAGCTAAATTTTGATCCTAGAACTTTTGAGAAGACTTTCAGGGGCCCTTGTCTCTACTCTAACCACCCAGTTTGGGGAATCCATTGTTAGGATTACAGGCTGCAGGCAGAAAAGCATGCATCACAGATGACCAAGAGGTACACAGACATAAAACATTACTGAACTATCCTACCTTCAAACACCAGGTAGAAACCTGGCACTTTGTAGCTATAACACTGATCCTGTCTTCCGACAAACCTACCTTCTATGCAGACAGACAAAGATGTCTTGGGATGACTGACAGATCTCCAGAGCACTATGTTTCTTAACAGGGAAGAAAATATGGTGGTCATCAGACATCCTGGGATATTGGGCTGAGCCTTATGGATGACAGATAACCAACTGTCTCAGAACTACAAAGCGATGTCACAGCACCCCAGCACCCTCCTTTTCTCAAGACATTGCTCATGCCCTCCTCCCACATGGTGACAAACTGCTGACAACATAATGTCTCATATTTTCTGTCTTCCCAGTCTCTGTCCCTCAGTCACTTCATTCCAGGAAGAGAGACAGCGGGAGAAGAAGAGATGGAAAAAAATAGCTAACCCTGCTGAGTGGTGACATCACACACCTATAATCCTAGCACTTGGGAGGTAAAGCAGTTGCCTGGGTAACTGAGTATGTTCAAAGCCAGCCTGAGTAGCCTAGCCAAGTTTTTACACCTCTAAAAGATGACCTCAACAAAATAATTTTGAATTGTTTAACATGTATTTATTTACTCTCTCTCTCTCTCTCTCTCTCTCTCTCTCTCTCTCTCTCTCTCTCTCTCTC